TGGGGCGGGGAATTTGGCGACCCACAACGCGGGAGGTAGAAATTGGGAATTCGGATTTCAGATTTGGATTCCAAGAGTTTGGGTGTCAAGGGTAGGTTCTTAGGGTGTTCGGGTGAATAGGGTGTTCGGGTTGAGAGTGTTGTGGTAGGGCTAGAGAGGTAAGGTTAGTGTTACGCGGTTATGGTTAGGGTGTTAGGAAATGAGTGCTCAGGTTCGTGTCTTACGGTTCGGGTGTGCGGGTTAGGCTGGGGGCGTTATGGCCCGTGTAAAAGGGTATGGCTCGGGTTCGGTGGTTACGGTTAGGTGGTTAGGGTTAAGGTTAGGGTGTTCCGTTTGGGGTTCGGGTGTTCGGGTTGGTGTCTTACGTAGGGTTAGGGTTAGGGCTGGGGGGATAAGGGTTAGGGTGTAAAGGGTTAGGGTGTTAGGGTAAAGGGTATACCGGGTTAGGGTGTTGGTGTAATGTGTTAGGGTTAGGGTGTTAGAGTCAGGTTGTTTTTGTTTTGGGTGTTGGTGTTAGGTTTTACGGCTAGGGCTAGGGTTAGTGTTAGCGCCCCCCCCCCCCAGCCCCCCACCCCACCCCCCCCGTTAGGTTAGGGTGGGGGGGTTCGGGTCTTTTCTTGTTTCATAGTTTGCTGTGTTCCCTCGATTTTTTATATTCTTTTTTTTTTCTTTTACATTACTTATTCCTCTATTTCATTATCTTTGGCCGATCTACGTTTCTCTCCTTTTCGGATTTGTGATAGTATCTTTTCTTATCTCGAACGTAACATTCTCCTTTCTTCTAATACCCAGTGCTCACTACCTTAGGTCAGGATTAGGGTGTTCGGGTTTGTTTAGGGTGTTAGGGTCAGTGAGTTGGGGTTCCGCCGAGGGTTACGGGGGTCAGGCTTAGTGTGCTTGTTAGGGACAGGGTGTTCGGGTTAGGGTGTTTGGGGCTTGCGGGTGAGAGTTAGGATTTGTGTGTTAAGTTTGTTAGGGTTAGGGTGTGAGGGTTTGGATGATAGGGTTACGATGTTAGGGTTTGGGTGTTAGTGGCAGGGTTTGGGTGTCAGGGTTACGGCGTTCGGGATAGGCTTAGGGTTTGAGGGTTTGGGTGTGGGTGGTGGTGTGAGAGTGTCAGGGCTAAGGGTTCGGGGCAAGGCTTAGGAGGTCAGGTTCTTCGGGTGAGGTGTTAGCGTTAGGATGTTATGGTTAGGGTGTCGGGGCCAGGCGAATCCTGCCAGACATTTTGACATATTGGTTTCGCACGGCCCACCCCGCATGGCGGGAGCGGCTGGATTCCCGCTACTGGGCCGATGGCACTCTCCTGGGGCTCTTGGGGTCGTCCTGCGAGGCTTTGGGGCTCTCTTGCGGTGTCTTGGGGCTTCCGCGGGTCTCGTGGGCTCTCTTCGGATGATCTTGGGAAGGGCCTGGGGTGTTGGGCGCAGGGTCCGAGTGCGCCGGGGACGCGTCCGAGCAGAGTTAACAAATCCTCTGCGTGAGTCCAAAAATCAGATTTGCAAAGGAATGTTTCTTGCAAGCGGCGCTTGTTGTCAGCGTGAGGCGGCGCTCGTTTCCAGCGTGATCGTGCCCACGTGGGATAGTAGCATGAGGGGGAGAAGGAGGAGTTGGAGGAGGAGGAGGAGGAGGCGGAGGAGGAGGAGGAGGAGGAGGACTAGGGGGAGGAGGAGGAGGGGTACTTGAACGAGTGAGCTAGGCGCCGCTACCTGGTGGATCCGTTTCTCCTGCTTCACTCTCCCTCTCGTCTGCGCTCCTCCCTTTTCTTTTTCCGCCTTCCCCTCCATTCTTTCCCCGCTTGGGGCTTCGGTAATGCTCAGCCAAAATGGCTACCGTGCGCCATGTTTTCTCCTCTCACTTCCATCTCATCTCTTCTCACTTCGGTCATTCTCTAGCTTTCCATTTCTATTCCTCAGTTCCTTGCTTGCTCTCTTCCTTCTTTCCTTGATTTGTTAACTTTGTGCTAAAACGGGTACGGCGCGCTCAGCAGTTATCCTGCTCTCTCTCTCTCTCTCTCTTCCTTATGCTTCTCGGAGTCCCCCTCGCACTCTTTCCCGCGCTCTCAGGCTGTCTTAGGGCTCTCTTGGGCTGTACCGTGTTTTTCCTGGATGCTTATAATGGGCTGTCTTGGGGGAATCTTGGGCAGGCTCTGGAGTGACCAGCGCAGGGACCGAGGGCGCCAGGGACGTGTCCGAAACCCGAGTGAAATGCCAAACGCTTCGTTTTCGAACTGTTTAGCATTTCACGAGGGTTTTCCAAGTGGTCTGTGGCCGTGGCGGGAGTTTGGTGGGCGGTGTCTGAAGGCGCTGGGGCGACGCTCGGTTGATATGCCAGGGGGGGGCTGGGAAACTCTTGGGGCGATGTTTGGGAGTCTTGGACTCTGGGAGTCTGGGGGTCCGGACTCTGGGAGTCCGGGGGTCCGGGAATCCGGGAATCCGGAATCCGGAATCCAGAATGCGGGACCTGGGTTTCCAGGAGTCCAGAATCCGTGAAACCTGACTCCGGATGCCAGGAATCTGGGAATCAGGACTTCGGATTCCGGAATCCGGGAATCCGGAGATCCAGATTTTGGAATCCGGAATCCGGAATCCGGAATCCGGGAAACCCGGAAGAAACCCGGAATCCGGAATCCGGCATCCGGGAAACCGGATTCTGGAATTTGGAATCCGGGAATCCGGAATCGGGAATCCGGAATCCGGGAATCCGAAATCCGGAATCCGGAATCCGGAATCCGGCATCCGGGAAACCGGATTTTGGAATCCGGAATCCGGGAATCCGGGATCCGGCAGCCGGGAATCCGGGATCCGGGAATCGGAAATCCGGAATCCGGGATCCAGGAATCCGGAATCCGGGAATGCGGAATCCGGAACCGGAATCCAGGAATCCGGAATCACGTTAGAGCCTGTTTTCTTATTCCTCAGGGGGGGAGAACGGCCTCGGAATATTCAAGCTCTTCGGCCCCATCGCCGTCGCTTGTCTGCGCCCCGCAGTTCGAGGTATACCTGCCAACTATTCTTACAACGGGCCTATTTGGCTCAGTTTCGCTCCGCCTGTTTTGTGGTACTTCAGTGTCCAGCGCAGATGGGGCGCGTCGAGGGCGCGGAGCACAGTCATGAAGGCGACGGCAGGGAGTGCCATGGCAATTGACACGGCTAGCGCACGGCCGCTACCGGGTGGATGCAGCGCGGCGAGCCCCAGCGACGGCACAGAAATGCCTCCATGTGAAGGGGGCGCACGTACCGCGAGAGCCAAGCCACCGCAAACCGACGAGGCTCGGCAGGCCATTGTCATTCTCACCTCCCGACTTGACAGAGAAAACAGATACCATCAGGTCCCGAACGACATCCCGACCGAGCTCACCGACGCCCCGTGCTGACCTGTCACGTTCGCGTCCCCGCCGACATCTTCGCGCGGATCACTGGCCCCAGATGCTATGCGTCGGAGGGGTGCGCCTCGTCCTCGGACTCTCAGCCGCCGTCGCCCGCCGCGCGACCTCGGGGGGGCGACGCGGGAAAGAGGCCTGGAACGACCTGGTTCAGGGGGCACCGACGGGCGCGCGTGCACACGCGCACGGGCTGACGCCGCCAAAGCCGCCGCGGATGACCACGCGAAGCAGACGTACAGCCATGAAGGCATCCTATGTAAGGCCGCCTCAATGCAGGCGCGCTCACAGGCTGACGCCGCATGCGAAGCAGCGCCGGCTCGAGCTAGGGCCGAGCCGCCCCCCTCGGGGGGCCCATCCAGATTGGGCTGCTCTGGGCCACAGGCGCCCCCTGCCCTGCTTGTCAGGGCGGGGCGGTCGCCCCCATGAGGAGCGAAGCCAGCCAGGGGCTTCATAGGGCAGAGCCGATGGTGGTGCCACCAGGCGCCCTGCCAGGGTTCGGTGGGCAGGACGAGGCTCACCAGGTCCCCGAAGCTGCATGGCGCGAACAAGCCGGTGCACCTGACGCCAGTCAGGTCTACATGCCCAGCGAAGCGCCCAGCTTCGCGGCCCAGGCCAGCAGCGCAAGGTTCGCGAGCGATGCTGGCGGTGCGACCTCTGCCAGCACCGCGGCCGCAGCATGAGCGCAGTTCTCTGGGGCAGGCATCTCGAGTGACCCAGCAGGACCATTGGCGGCTACTGCGGGCCCGATGACCAGGGAAGGGCCGCCCCTCCCGCCCGCCCCAGAGAGGAAAGGGGCCGCGCCGCCCGTCCTCCAAGCATTTGACGATCCACCAGGATCCGAGGCACCAATGGCGCCGGCCGGCCCGCCGCAGGGCCGCCGCGACGAGAGCCCCGACATCGAGCCGGCGGGGGGCTGCCGCGCCAGCAACCCGAAGGCCAGGAACGGTGATGACGAGGACCCTAGCTGCGCTGAGACTGAGGCCGCGGCGGCGACGGCCGCGGGCACTGAGCGGCGCGCGATTGGCGCTGCGCTCGCGCGTGACTACGCGGCCGCGCGCGCCGCCGCCGCTGGGGGGGCGGGGGCCGCCGCCGCCGCCGCCGCCAGCGCCACCGCCGTGCTGTTCAATCCCTCCCATCCCGCTCCCTCGCGCAGAAGTGGAAGATAGGGGCGTTTTTTTTGTTTTGTGTGTAATTATGGTTCGCCCCCCCTGGCGCTAATTTCGCGCCCCTCTTGCGACTCGTCTCGACCGCCCTGTGGGGCCCTTTCGGACCTCGGACAGTGCCCTGACAAGCCCCGCTGGCGCTGCTGCAACGCTAAGAACGACCCCAGTTCGACGGGCGGACATGGGCCCCAGGTTGCGAGTCGTCGGCGGAAATTGCGCAGCGGTATTGATCTCTGATCTTTTATCTGAACTCCTCAAGTTCGGGCCCTGCTCACAGGGCGTCTAAACTCCCGTGCCTCTGAGCACAAGCGAGGGGGCGCTAGAGCCGAGACGGTAGCAGGAAAAATACACATGTCAAACTACACATTCAATCACAAACTGAAACCAAGCAACAATATGGAATATGGAAACAAATATGAAACATCTGCCACCTTGCTGGACTCACTCACTCATGCTCAGGCTTGCTCACCCTCGGAATTGCACGGATAAGGGTCCTCCAAGCTGAGCATCCTTGAGTCCGCCTCCTCGTCTGAACTGTACTCGGTCATGGCCTCATATGGCGGGAAGTCTGGGCACGCAGCTGCACTGATGTGAGCCATTGTCCCGCCTGGCGTTTTGAGGATGCCCGCTCCCACGTGCTCGAACGGCTGGATTCCAGCGGCCTTCCTCTTCCGTGCACTCTGGTACTTCTCGTCGTAGACCAGCTTCCAGCGATGCCCGTTGTTGAAATACATTCGCAGCTGGCCTGGCTCGTGTCCCTTCGTCAGCGAGTTGGCGAGTTGGGCATCCCCATGTACCCAGAGCATCCAGTTGTTCGCCGCCTGCGTCCCCTCCTTCAGGGTCATGGCCTCCACGTCGGTCCGCTTCTCCTTGCCCCGGAAGGTGTAGACCGTCGTCTGCAGCTTGTCGTACAGGCCCTTTGAATCCACAACCACTGCTCCTGGCAGTCTGCGTTGAATCCCCTCGGGCTTCCTCCAGTCGATGTTGTTGCCCAGGATCTCTAGCCACTGCAACTTGATGCCAAACAGCTCGTCCTCAGCATCCACGGCGGAGCGTGTCTCACATGCCACGGAACTGCGGCAACCACGATCGATCTTCCCGGACTTCCAGGATATGAGGCTCACGTCCGCCTCGTCTCCCCTGAGGATCCTCAAAGGTGCCAGCCCCGCCACTAGGCCCTTCGTGGACTTTCCGTCGGGACGGTTGGCCTCGGAGGAGTCGGACCACTCCACTGGCACCAGCACCTGTGCCTGAGAGTGGCTGTGTATCACCACGGGTAGATCAGCACATTCACGGACACGATCGACCAGGCGGTTGGTCTCGTTGATGGTCTGCACGGTGGACGATGGTATGGTGCTGAGCAGAAGGCTCGTGTCGGCCGAGTGCATGGGGCCTGACTGCTCGGATCTCCACCCGATGGCCCCTAAGATAGCCCTCAGCTGGCCCTTCTCCTTGTCGGTGGTCGGCATGTCCTTGGCCTTCTTGCGCTCCGGGGTGAGGTACGCCTTCTCGATGGTCTTCACATACTCGCTCTGGTCCATGCGGAAGCTCCTGTCGGGCTGCTGCTTGATCCGCACCCCCGTCTGCATGAACTCCTCCGACTCCCAGGCTTTCCACTTGAAGCGCTTCTCAATCTGTTCCCGGGCGGTGATCCACCGGGGGTCTGCGTCGTTGCCACCGAGCAGGAAGTCGCCCACGTGCGACCCCGCAATGGCTATGATGTCCATGTCCCCCTTCGCCGCGATCAGGTCCCCGAGCACCTCTGGGTTCGTGAAGTCCTTCAGCGCCTCCTTGGTGAAGCCGTTATCCCTGCCGTGGCCGTCACCGTAGAGCACCCACACGCAGGGGTCCATCTTCATCTGGGTCCAGCCGAACTCCTCCAGTGCCTCGCTCACGGTCATGAACCACTCGATCGCTGCTTCCACGAGCCCGTAGACCGCCTTCCTGAGCTGCATCGCAACGCCCTCGGGCATCCCCAGCGCCGCCGCGAGCTCCTTCACAGGCATCACGAACAGGTCATGCTGGATCTCTCTGTTCTGCGTGAAAGCCCCCGTCACGTCCGCTTTGTAGCCTTTGAAGCCCAACCACGCCATCGTCTGCAGCACCAGGTGCCTCGAAGTTCTCGTCATGGTTGGGGCGGTGGTCGGACGGTGCTCGTACTCGGGGTCCATATAACCCAGGACCACAATCCTCGCCTTCGGCTTCTTCGTGCCCGTGTTCTCGTCCACCTTCCACTCGAGGATCCACCTCATGCGCATGATGTCCTCGGGAGGCGGAGTCACGCCTGGTGGGAGCGTCTCCAGCACCGAAGACACAATGTAGTTGTTCACCTCCGTGGCCTTTGCCTGGCCGAACTTCGCCACCTCGTCCGGGGTCAACGTTCTTTCCGAGATCTCGCGCTTGCCCTTTCGCAGCTGGCTCGCCATGTAGGTACTCATGTGCCGCGTGGCCTGCCTGAGCGGCTTCCCCTCCAGGGGAACCTCAACGGAGACCTCCAGTGACGTGCCCTGACGAGCCCAAAAGGCCCGGGCGTCTGGAGTGGACTTCGCCATGAGGGCCATGTTCTCCTTCATCTGTTCCTCCGCCAGGGCTGCTCGAGACGCTCGGACTTGGTCGGCTGTTCCTCCTGGGTGGTATCCTTTCTTGAGTATTTTCTTCCGCACTGGTGGTGTTGAACTGCCCCTTGAGGCCTGGCTTCCTCCTGTGGCTTGTCCTGTGCGGGCCTTCTTCAGTGGAGGGGCTGGTTCAGGTAGTCCCTCCCAGGTCAAGAACTCCATGTCGTCCTCGGTGGGGTCGTGGCCCGTGAAGTCCAGGTATTCGTGCTTCATCGTCTGGTTCATGAAGGTGTGGACTGTCCAGGGCGTGTCTTTGCCTCCCATCAACTCTGCTTAGGCGATCTCCCGTGAGGAGGCCGCCCGGATCTGGCAGAGGTCCACCTTGATGATACGCCCGGCTCGTACAAGCCACACCACGGATCCTGCACGCCCAGGGTGTAGGGCTCGTCCTTCGCCAAGGTCCCCGTCCACCGGCCGCGCCGTCTCTGTGGCCAGGACCCTCGCGAGCCCTTTGAATCGGCCCTTGGCTTCACCCTTCTCCTTCCGGAAGTAGCGCACCCACGTGCCTGGCACCACGGACTTCACCGCCTGATTCTTCGCGTTCTCTGCCCTGCTGATGCGTCGCATGTAGACTTGCCTCAGGTACTCCTGCTCGGCAGCATACATCCTGGTGTAGTTCTCCCCGAACTCCTTGTCGACCCTCTGGGCCTCCACGTAGGGCAGCTCGTCGAAGTCGCTCTCAAAGAAGTGTCCGTCCAGGTCTGGTGCTCGCCCGAGGGCATGTTGAAGGGGTGAGTGTCCTCGAACATCTTCTCGTGAGTTCCCAGCTGCGGTCGCTCTGGCCAGGGCTTCCTCCGTCGTCATCTCGGGGTTCTCCGTCACCAACTTGTCCATGGTCCCCTTGGTGGCCTGGATGGCCTCCTCGGCGAGGGAGATGTGCCAATGGGCCTGGCCAGGTATGGGTTCGTACGCGATGGAGTCGAAATCAAAGTACTCAGCCGCCTGCTTGGACATCCAGGAGCCCTCGGGGTCCACCACCCTCTGTGGCTTGCCGAAGTAGGGCATCCAGCGCTCCTCATAGAACTGCTTGAGGTCGGCCCACACGGGATTCCTGTGCCGGTCCTCGCCAACCATGTGGTACAGTAGCTTGCTGACGCGCACCCGGCAGTTCTCGTCTATGATCAGGGAGATCTTGGACTTAACCTTCGTCTGCGGGTGCTCCCATTCAAACTGGTCCGCCTGGATGTGCTTCCACTTCGGCGGGATGGCTTCTAAGCTGACCGGCGGATGTGTGGGCTTGAACTTGTGCGCCTCCTCGCAAGCGTCACAGTGGAAGTCCTCAGCCACCTGTAGCACCTGTGGGCTGGCGCCCTTCCTCCGAAGTGCGTTCAGCATGGAGGCCTTCGAGCTGTGACCTGAGCCACGGTGGATTGAGGTGAGCCACCTCATGATCTGCTGGTACTCCTTCGAGCTCAAGTCTGAGTTCATCTTTGTCTCCTCTTGGTTGGCTGCCATCGCCTGGTCGGTCGCCTCCCCGGGCTCCACCACGCACCTCATGAACTCGTGGTAGTCGGGCGCGGCCTCCTCGGTCATCGCGCGCACAGCTCGTCTGGCAAACTCGTCCGGGTAATAGCTGGTGGCCGCTGTCAGACTGCCTCCTGTGAGCTCCCCATGTCGGTGATCTCCTGGGCATTCCAGGGACATCCGGGCTGCCATCTTTGGAGACGTCGTAGCGATAAGCCACTCCTTTAACAGCGGCAGGCCCTTCCCGTCCTTCACGCCGAGCTGGCAGCCTGCCACCTTCACCACCGTCATGGAGCAGTCCTCCACCATCTTCCTGATCATCGTGTGGCCCCAGCCCTCGCACTTGATGGGCCACTCCCAGTGTACATGCTTGCCTTGAGCCACCTGGTCATACACCAACTGCACCGCGCCCTTGTACTCCTTGATGGCCTGCAACCTGCGCTTCCTGGTGGCCTCCGCCCTGATAGGGTTGGAGCCGTTGAAGCCGAGGGTGAGGGTAGACAGGGGGCCGCACCTCGTACTGATCCACAGGTGGTCTGGTTCAGCCTCATCACGTGCCTCCCGAGCCCTCTGGTTGCCGCCAGGTGCCCCCAGCTTGAAACCATTCCACGCACTGATGCGGCATACAGCGTCCTCGCCGAACTTCTCCGCCATCTTAGTGCTCAGGATGGACGTCGGGCTGCACGCGACCTCCATCAACTTGGTACTGCCGTGGGCCATCAGCGCCTCGTAGTCCTCAACGTGGCCGTTCTCCTGGATGCACTTGGCAAGCCAGCGCTGCTTCCTGGGGTCCAGCTCCTTCGTGCAATTCAAACCTCTGCCAGACCACTCGGACTGGAACCCACTTGTACGAAGCTCCCGGCGTTGGAACTGGCTGAGCTCGCCTGGCCCTCCAGCTGGCCGATCCTCTGGTTGAGCTGGTTCAGCGCCGTCAGCATCTGCTCCTGGACCAAGCGGTTGGACTCCTTCTCCTCCTTCTGCACCTTGATCGCAGCCTCGAACTTCTCCTGCTCCTCGATCTCGTCCTCCATGATCGCGTCTACCGTTCTCCTGCGGGATGACCTCGCGCCCCCTCGAGCCTTGTCCGGCTCTCTCGGGACCTCCTTCGGATCCCTGGTCACCCCGGCCTTCTTCTTGTCGATGATCTCCTGCTCGTTGAGCCATGAGGCAAACCGGGCCAGCTCCCAGCTGCTCTCCTGGTTCGCCTCTTTCTGGCACCAGGCTGCGTAGGATGGGTACTGGCTCCGAACCTGCTGGTAGGTCATGGCTCCGTGCTTCCCGAAGCCCATGTAGTCGGTCGGCTCCGGGGTATGCTTCATGAGGATGGCCTTGCGGATCGAGAGCTTGAGTGACGGATTCGTCATGCCCTGTGTCACGTGGGCGCCTACCTCCTCTGCCTTCGCCAAGAGCTGGGACTTCTTCATCGAGCTGAGACCCTTCATGGACATCTGCACTGGCGTCTCGTCCTTCGGAAACATGTGCTCCTTGAGGACCTGCTTCAGCTCGTCCACGCCCCAGGCCGGACTGCACGGTAGGCCAAGCTCCTGAAGTAAGTGCAGCACCTCCGCTTTGTAGAGGCCCTGTACTGCACTGCGAGACGTTGGCATCTGGAGTGGTCGTACCGCACGAGCATGCGATCCTGGCGCAGGTGAGCTGGACCGCCCCGCGGATGATGTTACCCCAGCGCATCTCTTTGCTGACATCGACGGCCTTCGGCCTGGAATATGGAATATATGGAAGATCTGGTGGATCTGGAACTGCGGGTGGCTGGATGCCGTCGGTCGCTGTCGACTCGGGTGAACTTGCCTGGCTCGAGCCCGAACGGCTATGGATCTGCAGCGGGACCCCCTGGTTCACCTGGGATGCCCGGTTCAGCTGGAACTGAGACTGGACACTGGGACGGTCGCTGCCTTCAACTGCGGGACCCTTCTGAGGCTGTGGCCCACTGTTGTGATGAATGCTGCGGGCTTGGCCACACGACTGGCCTCTGCACGCACCTGCTGAACCAACTGGAGACGCATCGGTGACAATGCTGTGATCGGATTGAGATGGATACATGTAGCGCTGCAACTGCTCAGCCCGGTCATCCGAGCTGCTGTCCGGCCCCTGGCACACTGCGGCCACGGGCTGGCGGTCCCACTCACGCATGCTTTCGCAGATGGTCTTGAAGTTCCGCAGCTGGCTCTGGTCCTTGACGCGCTGCTCCAGCAAGTCGTCGACCAGGCTCAGGTAGTAGTGGCCTCCGTCAGGTGACTCCTCCAGCTGCACGGGGATGTCCGGTGCGAGCCTCACGAACACGGCCACCCCAGTCTCACAATCCACGACGGCCCCGAGCTTCTTCAGCACCTTCTTGGACACCAGGATCGGGACATCCTTCGAGAAACCGTTGATGGCGATGTCGCCTTCCACGCCCGCGCCCGTGATGCCGAACTTCACCTGTCCGTAGGCGCGCTCCTTCTCGCCATTCCCGAAGCTGTAGACTGGCCTGTAGTCCAGGTTCACGTCCAGCAGCCTGGTGTCGCCATGCTTCTCCAAGTTCTTGCGGGCCACGATGTCCAGGGCGCGCTCACCACCCATGGCGTCCGTGCACCCTAAGTCGACGATGCCCTGGCCCTCGAGGATGGCCTGGTCCGCAAACATCGCCTCGCACTCCGACTCCCGGGGCTCCTGCTCGGCGACCAGCGAGGCCACGAGGTTGAACTTCAGCTCCTTCCTGCACTCTGCCACCTTCGCGCTCGCGTCTGGCGTGCCTGCAGCTCCCGGCCGTAGACGTGGGTCATGACGGTCCGGGCAATCCTGAGCCCAGTGGGGTCCTCCACACTTCGCGCACTTCTTCTGCCCCTTGTTTGGTGGCAAGATCTTGCCTTTGCCTCCTACCTGGGGAGGAAGTGGTCGGCGTGATCCCGCTGGGGACCCCTTGCCTGACCCCTTCGGCGCTGGCCGACCTCCCCTGTAGAAGCCCCTGCTCAGCCTGCTGTCTGCCTGAGCTTCACGAGCCTGGCGGAGGGTACGCTGGGCGGTGTGGATCGCCGCGAGCGCCTCCGCCTCCTCCTGCTGAGCCGCCAAGTAGCTCTCGATGTCGTCATCGTTCGCCTCCTCTGGGCCTGGTTCTTCCTCCTGCCACTCGCTGTTCTCCATGTCGGCTGCGAAGCTGCTCGCATCTGGTGCCTCATCTCCGTCAAGCCATGTGCGATCATCTTCTCCGAGCTGGGCCGTGTACGCCTTCGGGAACCGTGAGTGCCCATCACGCTCCGCCAGGTCATCGTCCTCCCAGCTCGAGATCAGCTTCTCCCGGATGGTGTTGACCTCCAGCGAGCCGCCGGTTGCCGTCATGATGGCCGCCCGCTCGCGCGAGTCGAGCCCCGACCTCACGAGCATCAGCCAGCCCAGGACCAGGCTCGGGAACACTTCTGGCATGTCCCCGAGCTCCTCCTCGGCGTCCGCATCCTGGTCAGCAGCACTCCAGAGGTGTGAGTCCTCTTTCTCATCGTCTGGCAGGCCGTCCGTGTACTCCCATGTCCATTCGCTACCCTCGAATGGCCAGCCACGTTCGACCTCGACCCAGCGGTATGGTCGCCCTGTCCACTTCCATGCTGGAGCGACCTGGACCGGGACTGTGTGTCCCAGCGCGCGTGCCAGCGCGCGTCTGAGGTACTGGTACCCTGTCTCGAAGCGGTCCGTCCACTGCTGCATTGGCTCGAGCTTGCGGCGCTTCGTCTTGATCAAGAATGTCTCGAGCTCCTGGCCTACGTCTGGCACGGCTTGTCGAGAGCATCTGCGCTCTAGCCACGCCAGGAGCCGCTCCACGCCATCTGGTCTGGAGAGCCACCCAGCCTTGCAGCGCTCGACCGCGATCTCGGCCCGGCCCGTGAGCTTCGCCTCCAGCCGCGGGCCGCACAGGTACCGGTCCTCCCTCTTGGTGCCCTCCTGGTACTGGAGGGCCTTCCGCCTGTATGTCCGCCAAGTCTTGGGATCCCCATCCCAGCTTGGCACCTTGCCTCGATGATCCTCGGTCATCGTAGTTCCTCTCCGTGTCAACCACGTGCTCCTGCTACCATGCGAGTCGTCGGCGGAAATTGCGCAGCGGTATTGATCTCTGATCTTTTATCTGAACTCCTCAAGTTCGGGCCCTGCTCACAGGGCGTCTAAACTCCCGTGCCTCTGAGCACAAGCGAGGGGGCGCTTGAGCCGAGACGGTAGCAGGAAAATACACATGTCAAACTACACATTCAATCACAAACTGAAACCAAGCAACAATATGGAATATGGAAACAAATATGAAACATCTGCCACCCTGCTGGACTCACTCACTCATGCTCAGGCTTGCTCACCCTCGGAATTGTACAGGTGGCCCGCGTGGTCAGTGCTAACGTAGCCCGTCTCGATGCTAAACGGAACGTCCTCGCCTAACTGCGGGACCACTATAGCGCCTCCATCGATGCGTTTCAGCCGACAAGACGCCCCGCTGCGCCATGCCATGCCGTCGACGCAAGCATCCGATCACCTGGCAGCAGGGCCCGGAGGCCCGCGCGAGGGCGACGCCCCAAGGGCGATTACGTTCTCCGCAAGGGGCGGGGCGGATGGGGCCGACCGCAGAGCGCGAGCGACCGCTGCCAAATGCGGCGGGGCACGCATCGTAGCCCAAGGGGCCCTCGTGGACACCGCCACAGATGACCCCGCAGTTCCGCCGCTCCTCGCACCCAATTCGGGGCCATCAGAAAAATCCGTTTTGGGAAGGAGGTCATCATGGGCCCTTGCATTCAATTTCTTTATTGTATTCTGCGTGCGAGATCAGAGTGTTCATTGGCTCCGCGGCCCGGAGGGATCAGGGCCCCTAAGCTGAGCAAAATGGGCGCGGGGAAGACAGACAGCGAGGTGGTTGTGTTTCTGGCCGGCCTGGCATTTTGCCCCGTGTCGGCGCCCCTTTTCCTCCGCGCCCGTCCGCGCGTTCTCTGTCCTGGCGGCTCTTCGTTTTTTTTTTTGGGGGGGGGGTGCTGTGTGGGGCTGCCTGGCGCGACGTTCCCCAGCGGCTTGTTGCCGCGAGGTGGCGGCGGCTGCGGCGACGCACCTCGCCTGGGAACCGCCGTGCTTGCTGGGTCCGCGGTCAGCGCCAGGTCGGGGTGCGCGGCGGGCGCAGCGGCAGTGGCCCGTGGACATCCCGCTCGCGGAGCACATCCCCATGAACAACGCGCCATGCGTGCAGCGCAGGGGGGGGGGGGGGGGGGGGGCGGACCATTCACCCTTCCCACCATCATAGGGGGATTTGAAGCCCCTGTGAGTGGGGTGGGGCGGGCACAAAGGGGCCATCATAGGCATTTCGCACCCGAGTCGAGACCATCAGAAAGGCTCGTTTTGGGAAGAAGGTCATCACAGGCCTTCAACCTCAGCATCTTTTTGAACACGGTTGGGGGCCAGATTCGCATCGTGGCGGTCTTCGGGGTGGGCATCGTAGCCGCTTCGCCGTGGCCAATCAGTTCATGTTTTTGTCATTGACTTCATTGCATGCCTAGCGTGCTCTTCCCTGGTGGGCCGTGGGCGGGACCCAGTTCCCTGCCAGTCGTCTGGCGCCCGCCAGCATTGGCATCCGGAGGGGCCATCATAGGCACCTCGCGCCCAGCTCGGTACCATCAGAAAGGCTCATTTTGGGAAGGAGGTCATCATGGGCCTTCGCTTTCAATTTCTTCATTGTATTCAGCATGCGAGATCAGAGAATTCATCGGCTCCAAGGCCCGGGAGGATCAGGGGTCCTAAGCTGAGCAATCTGCACGCGGGGTAAAACAACAGCGAGGTGGTTGTGTTTTTAGCCAGCTTGGCATCTTGCTCTGCGTCGGCACCCCCTTTTCCTTCGCGCCTGTCCGCGCGTTCTCTGTCCTGGCGGCCGTGCGTGTAAGGGGGGGGGGGCCTCGTGGGCTGCATGCCGCGACGTTCCCCAGGGGCGCGTTGCCGCGAGGTGGCGGCGGCTGCGGCGACGCACCTCGCCTGGGGGCCGCCGTGCTTGGGGGGTCCGCGGTCAGCGCCAGGTCGGGATGCGCGGTGGGCGCGGCGGCAGTGGCCCGTGGACATCGCGCCCGCCGCTCGCGGAGCACATCCCCATGAACAACGCGCCATGCGTGCTGCGCGGGGGGGGGGGGGCAGGCCGCTCGCCCACCCCACCATCATGAAGCGATGCGAAGCCCCTGTGAGCCGTGAGTGGGGCGGGGTGGGCACAGAGGGGCCATCGTAGGCACCTCGCACCCAATTCGAGACCACCAGAAAGGCTCGTTTTGGGAAGAAGGTCATCACAGGCCTTCAACCTCAACATCTTCTTGAACACGGTTGGGGGCCAGATTCGCATCGTAGCGGTCTTCGGGGTGGGCGTCGTAGCCGCCTCGCCATGGCCACTCAGTGTATGTTTTTGTCATTGACTTCCTTACTCGCGCAGCGTGCACCCCCCTCCCGCCGCGGGGCAAAGGCGAGCCAGGGCATGTGAAGACGCCGCCGGCGGCCTTTTCGCCACATCCGCACGCGGCAAATTAGGCCCTGACAACGCGGCCCTGTTCCTCCAGGCACGGGGGGCCGCGGACAGAGTCGGAGACGCACCTTTCTCTAGATGCGCTCGCGCCCAGACCGACACCGGCGAATCCATTTTGTCTGTCCGCATCCTCTCGCCGGGGTGGGCAAGGGCGCAGCCAGGGGCTACCCGGGCGAACGGTCCCGCGCGCATGGGCGAGACCTTGGTTGGGGCCGCAGATCTCCAGGGGCTTGTCGGACGCGCATCGATTATGTTTCGCCGACGGTCCACGAAGGCAGCTCGTCGCTGACTGCGCTCTGCTTCGAGTTTTTCCGACAAAGCAGCACATTGGCCTCCTGGTCACTCTCGCATTGGACTTGGTACGGGAACTAGCGAGACGGATGAGGATCGTCGTGCGATGCCTTTTGGCTTATCCCGCAAGTGGCTGGGGCGAGCAGCAATCCCTCGGCGACCGCATCGAAGCGCTTTTTTTCGACCGCGCACGAACGAGGCTGATCTCACCATTTTGTGGATAAGATGTTTGGTCTGGCCAACAATCCGCACGCGCCCTCCATGGCGACCCTAGCCGCGTCGCCCCACCTGGCGGCCAGGGCAGGTCACTTCAGAAACCACTCAGGCACGGCACAGCACCGCGTTTTCCAATCGCGTTCGCCTTTCTCCGGGCGGGCCCGCGCCACGGTGCAGCAAGCAGGGGGACGCTTGCGCTGAACAAGCTGCGACGATAACTTCGAGCTAGTAGTGCCCTCCTGGTAAGCCCTCAGGCTTGCCGGCCTAGGCGCGACACTGGCGATGCCAAGACGTGGATGGGGCCACGCCTGGGCGGTCGCAAACCTGCTCGCCCAGCGGCGTCGACCAGCTGAGTTCCCGCGCGCGCGGAACCCGTGGGGAGCTGCCGCTGACTTCCAGCTGGACAGCCTCATTGCACTCATCGAAGCCGAACGAGGACCGCCCGCGTCGATGCTTGGCGCAGCTGAATGCGTTCCAAGGGCGGATGCTGGGCCAGAAACCAGTGGGCCAAAGCTGCTGACAACTCCAACGCCTGTTACCTGCGCGCGCCGCGCAGATGCCCCTCGCGCGCGCCGCCAGGCGCATTGGCCATGACTGACGGGGACATTGGGCCGAAAGGCGAAGCCTCTCACGAGCGCGACCCACCAGGGTCGCGTGCCAGGTCGCCAGACCCACAAATACAGTGGCACTGTTTGTCTACTGACGTTCCCTCCGACTCTGCCGCGGGCGGTTCGGGCGGACTGCCATGTCCACGCCTCCATGGGCAAACCGAGCAACGCCCTGGCTGGCGCCGAGGCCATGCTGAAGCTCGCGACCGATACCTGGGAAGTAATACTTGGGCAATGCCGCAACGCTAGGGCCAGGGCCGACACAGCAATTCCTAGGAGGAGTGCCGCCCGGAACTCCCCCGCCCAGCCGCCGCCCTGAGCTTTGCCCCCGCTGTCGATGGTCTCATCAGTTCTTTCCGCGCCCGCCCTGCTGCCGGAGCGGGCGGCGTGGGTGGCCGGGCCGCGACGAAAGAGGCCAAGACGCTCCCATGCGGGGTCATGCGACTATTTGCCGGAGCGTCTCGAGCCATGCAGCGCGCCGGGAGGGCGCGGGAACCGCTCCTCCAGATCCCGAGGCCGCGATCCGAAGAGGGGCGAGAGAGCTGCCGGCGGACCAGCGCCTCCTCTCGGGCATGTCCATGTGGATTTGCTCATGGCGGGCGCCGGCGCAACGCGGCTTTGCGACGTGGGGGGTGCGCGGGGCCCGCTCAGTCAGCCTCGGGGCTCTCCCGCGCGCTATTATCAGCGACGCAGCACCGCGCTCGCCACATAGGTGAAGAATGCCCGATGCCTGCAGCAATCTTGCGGGGGCGGCGCGCGACGGGCGAAGGCGCTGGATCCTCGCCCCAACTTCGCACTTCACGCGGGGCGTCTACGAGACATCGCCCAATCCAGGAGGTCCTTCGACGCCGACCACCACTGATGCATTCGCATGGAGGGAGCACGTTCGAACCCCCTGGTACGCACCAACGGTCACCTCCAAGGCGGCTCCTTCTCACTCGACGGCATCGAACTCTTGGTGCGTGTTTGGACAGCGGCAGCGCCTGTGCGCGCGGCGCCCCCTCGGCACCGCGCTCGCCGACGACGGCAATTCCGCCGCCCCCGCGGCCGGGGGTTTGGAAGCATCGCTCGATTAATCTGTTGTTTTTGACCCCTTGTAGGGCCAGAAAGTGGTGGCATGGCCTGTCGGGGAGGAGCTCCGCCACCAGGTGGCAGCGATTTGCCTTCGAAGCTCACCGCCAGGTGGAGCTTGCGGGGAGCTGCATCAACGTTGTACCAGCAGTGGGAGGCACTGACCTTAACCTTCCTGGTGAGGATGGATTTAGGAAGTCGATGCGCTCGTCCAGAACCATGCTGGAGTGGAGGATGCGCTGGAGGAAGGGCAAGAGGCTTTCCAAGTCGGCCCCATTGGCGGACGGCGAAGACGAGGACGAGGGGCCCAATGCATACGA